CTTTGTGCTTAAGGCTAGGGTTCTACCACTTGAGCCACAGTGCCACTTCTGGTTTTTAAGTGGTTAATTGGACATAAGAGTCTCATGGGGACTCTGCCTGGGCTGGCTTCAAACCGAGATCATGAGATCTCAGCCTGAGAAGCTAGGATTACAGATGTGAGCCATTAGCAACTGGCTTTTACTTTTGTTTTAAAATTTGAGTGCTGATTACCTATGTATGTTCAAATTTTAAAAAATTCAAGTTATACTACTTATAACTGATGAAAATTTTGTTCATTTTATTGTTGTTGTTTTTGTTGGTTGTGGGGCTTGAACTCTGGGCCTAGGCGCTGTCCCTCAGCTCTTCAGCTCAAGGTGAGTACTCTACCACTTGAGCCACAGCACCACTTCCAGCTTTTTCTGCTTATGTGGTGCTGAGGACTCAAACCCATGGCCTCAATGCATGCAATGCAAGCACTCTATCACTGAGCCAATTTCCCAGACCATTTTTGTTCATATGTTATTCAATAAATGTACTTCTGTAAAAGGGTTAAATGATGGCAATTCAAATGAATGTCAGTTGTACAATTAATTTTACATATTGTTAAAAAAATTGGCAAAACAATGTTATATTAGTTAACTGCCTATGAGTCAAAGAGTATTAGGAGGAGTACAACTGGAGTTTCTGACATACTGACAATGTTGAACAAAGCGATGTTTCTTGAATGAAGTGATATTTTCACAAATACTGCTTTTGCGAAACTTATGTAACTATACTTTTACGGTTTCTGTGCTTGTTAATGTCACTTTTTTTTCTTTATGTCCATCGTGGGGCTAGAACTCAGGGTCTGGGTGCTGACCCTGAGCTTTTTTGATCAAAGATAGCACTCTACCAATTTGAGCTGTAGTGCTTTTTTTTTCTTTCTTTTCTTATGGTGCTGGTACAGGCACTTGAACTCAGTGCTGTCCCTTAGCTTTTTCACTGAAAGGTGGTGTTCTTCTACTTGAGCTTCATCTCTACTTCAATTTTTGGTAGTTAATTGGACATTGAGTCTCAAGGACTTTTCTGTGCTGGCTGGCTTAGATTAGGACATGAGGCTTTGGTGCAAGACTCACAGTTTCAATTTTTTTTTTTTTTGTCCTGGGGCCTGAACTCTGGGTCTGGACGCTGTCCCTCAGCTCTTCAGCTCAAGGCTAGCGCTCTACCACTTGAGCCACAGTGCCACTTCCAGCTTTTTCTGCCTATGTGGTGCTGAGGAATCAAACTCAGGGCCTTGTGCATGCAAGGCAAGCAAGCATTCTACCACTGTGCCATGCTCCCTTCCCCTCAATTTTTGTTTTGGGAAGAAGAAAAGCCATGGTAGAAAAATTAAAGGTAGGAAACATTCTGTCTTTTCTTTTTTTTTTTGTCCGGTTGTGGGGCCTGAACTCTGGGCCTGGAAGCTGTCCCTCAGCTCTTCAACTCAAGGCTAGCACTCTATCACCTGAGCCACAGCACCACTTCCGGCTTTTTTCTTTTTGCTTATGTGGTGCTGAGGTATCGAACCCAGGGCCTCATGCATGCAAGGCAAGCGCTCTACCACTGAGCCACCTTCCCAGCACCGTCTTTT